ATTTCAAGTTCTTGTTGGGACACCCTTTATATTAAATTGGCGTTTGAACTGCTTTCTTTGATATCTACGCTTTGAGAATGCGCGAGTTCATTCTGGCTCGTTACAGCCAATGATCAGTCCAGCAGTCATCCGCACTTGTTTAAAGTCTCGAAATGCATACATCATTTCGGAATCTAGAACGTAGAATTATATAATCGATTAGATGCCAGTGCTTTGACCTAGGGTGTTGCCAAGAGGTCTTGAATTTATTCTTTTGTCGAAAAAGTATATTCGTTATTACAAGGCCATATTCTGAGCATGTAGTTTTCACCATCCTACATCCCCATTAGAAAGAAAACTGTTCTATCTCGGTTCCTCCCTCTTTCGCTCTCACTTTTCCACTTTCTTCGCTTTCAGTATCTTTTCCAACATCTCTGTTAGCGCGCCAGTCTTCCTCTCGTCTCACCAGCAGCTGACCTATGTTCTCCTTTGCGAGTATCTCCTCTCCTTGTACAACTTTTCGGCTTCTCTCCTTATGCCCTCAAAATTTGTTCGAGGCTGTCCCCCTTGGAACAGTACCAGCACTCGTCGCTCTTACGCTTCTTGATTTTTTTTTTTTAGATATTTGTTGAACACAGCGTGCTCAGTCATCGCCTGTGTTATGTGGAGATTTATATTGCCCCGTTTTCTGTCCAGCCATTTGTTCAGGTCTCGGATGAAGAATTTGGTCGATCCCTGATATGTCTGCCACCTTGACCTCCATGTCCCCCTTGACCTCTGACGGGCTTGCTGTCTATATTTCCTCCCCCTTGTGTAAATATCTGCTTTTTCTTTGACTAATAAATATATCTATGGGCATCGTCTCTGCAATCAGTGAAAACGTGTGGTAGGCTGTTGCGATGCCAATGCACAGCCTCCTGTTTACCCTTTCCAGCAGCTTCGCGTACTTTTTGTACCTCATAGTTTTTTCCCACGTGGGTGGCGCATACAGCAAAACCGAATGGACCGTACTTGCCAACAATCTCTTTTTCGCTGGTCTTTTTCCGTGATTTTTTCCATATGTTTGGGTCTCTAAGGTCTTTGTCTAGATAGACCCCCAGATATCTGACTGGGCTTGCGGTCTTTACCAACTCTGTATCGATCATCATATCGAATTCTTTTATTTTGCGTCTTCCTGCCAGGAGCACCATCTCTGTCTTAGCTGTTGCCACCTGCAGTCCCATATCTTTCAGTCTACTTATCCAATTTCCTACTACTGTTTGAGCTCCTTCCTCTAGCATTGCCTTATCCTTTGCTCTGATATTCACTGCAAAGTCATCCGCGTATGCCACGATCTTCGAATCGCTACCTGTTCAGTTTTGAGGTTTTATCATAGGAAAGGTTCCACAGAATTCGACCTATAATAGCCCTGCGGCACCCCGCAGGAGACCTGCACTTTTTTAATCAGAGTTCCGATGATGCCCCTTTATAATGGTACCGTATTGAAGGCGTTCTCTATGCGCCGAAATTTCTGTTCTTAACCGCTTTTCTGTTTATGTCTTCTATCATTTTTGAATAGTGTCTACTGCATTAATGTTTGATTTACCCTTTTGATTCCTGATATCCGAACTGGTTTTTATTGATCAGGTTCTTTTCTTCTATCTCAGCCATTGGTCTTTTCTTAATCAGGATCTCAAGGAATTTTTCTCCTGTGTTGATACACTTATTGGTCTACGTTAGTATATGCTCCGATGTTTTTCTAAAGTTTCTCTATGAGGCACAGTTTCGCACAGGTGCTGTGTTGCCAGGCCTACTGATTTATTAGTAGATCTACTGATTTGGCCATTGGTCTACTGATATACTGATATACATGTGAATTCTACTGATGAAAGCCGTTGTCATTATTTATCCGATTTTTATGATATTTTTTAAATTAAAATCATGTATGAGAATGTCACAGCATTATTTTCATACGCAACCTTTAGGCTAAAATTGTACTCTGAACTCTGAACGGCGCCCGATTACTCCGATCAGTTCGGTGTGGTTTGTTGTAGAACAATCGAACGCTCGCAGTGCAGGCACATGCTTGGTGTTGTGTCTTGTTTACTTGCCTTTTGTCTTGCCAGTTGCGTAAATGCATGCGTTCTGGTTGATTAGTCAATTAGTCACATAGCGTTATGCTGTACGACTAACTGCAGCCTGTTTTACCTGTTTTTATCAGAAACTAGACTACTGCATAGGTCTTCCTTCTTCTTCTTCTTCTAGCCTGTTTCCGTCCACTGCTGAATATAGGACTCTTCCATCATCTTCCATCGGTTCCTGTCTTGGAGTCTTGGGCCGCCAGGATCCAGTTTTTCCCAGCAATCCTTTAAATGTCATCACGCCACCTTGTTTGCGGTCTTCCAATGTTTCTTTTTGACTCTCGCGGCCTGTAACCTCTTTTGTTAATGAGTTAACTATGGGTCCATAATATGCTCAAATAGCTCAGCGAAAAAAATATCAGGTGTGGGTTGATAGTTTAATTAGTACAGAATGGCGAGACCGCCAATGAATTTTTAATTTTTTTTTATAAAATTGCACAAAATATGGAAGTGTGAAAATTCAGAAACACATCTAGAAAATAATTACCAACCGATAATAATTGGTAATCCTGAAAAAAAATAATAATAATAATGCACACAACTCAAGTCAGTAAACAATTCAGTATTAGTTTATTCCAAAATATAAGATCAACTATTGTTGATAAGGCACCGTACACTTAATCAAAATAAAATAATAATAATAATAATAATGATAAAAATAGCATAACAAGAAATTGTACCTCAATATACTTGTCTCATAAATTCATTAACATTAGCTACCAATATCATCAATTTGAAAGGAAAATATAAAGATTTACGTTTCCAGAAAACTAATTAAAAAAAACTGAATGATTAAAAAAATTCTATCAATGAAAATGGTCAATATCTGCAAAAAAATAGAATTAAAGAAAAACAAGTTGTACCTGTAAAAAAAAATCAAAGGTTGGGTTATAAGTCAAATGGTCGACTTGAAGGAAATCCTCCGATATATAAGTTATAAGAGCCCGGGTTCAAATTTGATCAATTTTCGACGGCAAGCTATTATTCAAGAATTCAAATTCAGAACATGTTGTCCAACCTTGACCCTTATTCAGATCACTTATTGATAAAATTGATAAATTGATAAAATATAAGGCAGTATAAGAAGTTATGTTAACATAGTAAAATTAATAAACTAAGAACCAATTTCCTTTCGCCATTGTGTTAAGAATATATTTGTACCTAAGTGAGGACATAAGGTCCGTCGCCCCCTCTCTAACTTTTGAACCGCTCGGTATATTGCAACGAAATTTGGAATAATGATATGTTAGCAAATTCTACATTTTTGAAAAATAAATGACAGCTATAGCTGTCAAAATGACAGCTAGGTGCAGTTTTGAAACGTTTTTTTAAATAAATAAATAAATCTTTATTCTTAAATCATCCCCGATTTTGAAAACATTTGCTTTAGCGGTTTTCAAATGATGAAAAAAAGTTTGTTTTGGCCATAAAAATTTTTTTTTAGTATTTGAATCATTATTTTATGAGTTCTTTTGAGGTTTTTTTAAGTTACCAATATCATTACGTCATTATTTTTTATTACTGAACAAAAAACAATGATGAATAAAAAACCGATAAAAATTTTATAATTTTATGAGTGTTCATGACCAAAACAACCTCATGTTTTTTCGTCATCATTTGAAAACCGCTACACCAAATGTTTTCAGAATCGGGAATTAAATTAAAATAAACAGACCTTTAAAGCGATATATGACTTGATACCGCCTTCTATTTAAGAAAACGTTTCAAAACTGCGCTCAGCTCATTTTGACAGCTAAAACTGTCATTTGTTTTTCAAAAAATGGAGAATTTACTCACATATTATAACGTACTTTTTTTGGCAATTGCCTAATTATACTGCATACGGCTAGTCAGCATCAGTCCGGAGGCCATGGGTCTATGGGTTCCTTGTATACATCTTACCTTTGGGCGCCACCAAGTTAATTGTGACTTAACTAGGAAGATTACTTATTAATGTTATAACAAAACTTGTACAATTGAAGCGCTTAACAATAAAACAACTAATTAGGTACAATAATGTATTTGGCTTTCTTTATTAAAAAATAATAACAATAATAATAAGGCGCCAAAAAGTGTAGCCACCAAGTAATTAGGACTTAACTATTGCGCCAATAAGTAGCCACGAAGTTATTAAAAAAGGTGTTTAGGATTAGGCTTGTACCTAATTTGTGAATATTTGAATAAATAAAAAAAATGTAAATAATGAATATATGAATTTAAAAATAAACAGTTTAAACTGTTTATTAACACTTGTGGAAGATTAAAAAAGAAACAGTATGGGTTACACTCTACCAACAGGCAAATTTAACACAGAAAGGTGAAAGTTATTCTTTGGGCAACCTCAGAGTAAAATTCTAGAATTTTATTTAAGGGGCACGTACTGACGTAATTCGGCGTCAGATGATTTATATATGATTTGCCTAAATAGTAAAAGCGCAACTTACATGTATACAAGTGAAATGTATGTGAAAATCCAGAACTTTCCAAAGTGAGGTTATCTACAGGTTTGGTCTTACTATTAGATAGAAAAATAATTAGGGCCGAGGCCCGAGACCGGATGACTACTCAGCGTGAGGTCGCAGATCAAAAGGGGCAGATTCTTCATTTAGATTTCGGAAGAAGACTTTCATCTGTCAAACTTCTAATTTTTACATTGAAGAAAATTATAGAAAAGGACGTGTTCAGTTTCACCCCAAAAGTACGAACTGAGAATCCGTTGTGTAAAAAATGACTGGTGAATGTTGAAAAGTGCCTATAGAACATATATCAAAAGGTAGAACAGGTCTAAAGAAAACGCCTAGACAAAACAGCTGTTCAATGACATGATGGAAATGTAAAGTCAAAGAGTAAACAACAATTATTATCATAACCTCAGATTATTGATTGGATTTGCAAACAGAGATGATGATGGTACTACCTCCTTTTCCTAAGATTCTAATCAATAACAGCGGGCCCTGCCGTACTGAATCAAACCTTCCTAGATCAATTAACCAAACTTGCAAACCTGAACCAAAAAAAACTTCTAGTAGAAGGCAGTACTCAAGGTAAGAAAATCTGGGCACAGAAAAGATAGTTGTTTCTTCATTTATTCCTTTATAGTTCTATACGGAATCATATCTACTAAAGCAAAACAAGGTAGCTTATTAGCCAAGAAATTGAAAACGTTACAATATCATCATTTCAAATTTCGTTGCAATATACCGAGTGGTTTAAAAGTTAGAGGAGGAGCGACCGACTTTATGTCCTCACTGTATAAAAATTATCATAACTTTGCTAATAGACTGTAAAAATGATTTTATGAAATAAAAATTATAAATTAGGAGTTATTAGTGAAACTTATACAAGCCTCCATCCCAACATAAAGCAAATCCGGAAACCATTCATTCTCATCTATCGATCTCTGGACGAAAAGGGCCACACTGGGCCGACTATATGGGGCATTGGGGCATTGGGGCATTGGAGCATTGGGGCAGATGCACCCATGCCAGCCTCTCATGGGTGCTCTCGTGGGGAATGTGGAAGCACAAACGTGTTTAATGGTCTTTCCGTTCCGTGTGGTAGAATCAGTAACATTTAATTTAAATTTAAACAACTTTGTATAAGAATAATGGGCTCATTTAAATACGTAATTTAGGTATAAAATCCCAAAGGAGGGACTATTTTGACATATATACCAAAAAAAAAAAATGTTCTACAAGGTTAAATAAGTTTTTTACAGGCACTTGAAAGTGGTGAAATTCAAAATTATTTGAAACGCGCCGATTTGATGACTTCATATAAATATTTTTTATATCGCTTGTGTTGTTGCAAGGAGCTGACCGGCTCGGATGTGTTGCGCTCTGTAAAAGTACGTAAAGATTCTAATGCGCTGTTGTCGGTTGTGACTAAATGTAGTGCAACGTAAAAAAAGTAATTAAAACTAAACATAAAAAATTGTATTAAAGTGTGTTTAAGCATAATTTCAAAAAAAATGTTATAAAATCTTGAATCCATAACTAATTTTTGACTCCTTTTTATGATATTTTGCCAACATTTCAGAATTAAATCTATTACAAATTTTCACTGTTGACAATTAGTGGCAACACGGTCAAATTGCGAGCTGCGACGTGATAGAAATAAATTCTGGGTTTTTATTTGGAGGTATTTCTTTTTTTTCTGTCTCCTCAAGAAGGACTTCAAGTTTTTCAAAAGTAAAAATACAGAAAATTCTGTTTTTAGTTGCTTTATCCAAATATATCATTTTCAAAAATTAGTGAAAGAGCCCATTATACAAGTGGTATTAGTATATTTTGACCTTTTGATATTTGTGGTCAGTTTTATGCTCTATTACTTTAGGTCTGTTTTCACAGAAATCAAAAACTAGTCAGAGTGAATTTCATTAGTTGAAAATAGTCAGGAAACTGGTTGTTTGTTGGCGATTTGGACCAATCAAAAACGCTCTAATTGGTTTGTGATTTCTGTGGAAACAGACCTTTTGTTGGTATTCTTTATCTCTATTCTTTGGTAATAAGCGGGACAGTCCTGCGCACAGCGGGAAGTCTGGTGCTTACGTCGTATGCCATATAATTCAAGGTGTTTTCTCGCGTCTCAAAGTTTTGAAACATTTTTTAAAACTGGTTTAAAATAATTTCACAATGACGTCATAACTCTTCGGCGTGAGAATAGCTATTATGTAACAAGTTCTGAAATGAGCGTGTTTTTAGCACTAAATGTGAAGACAATATGGTTTAACTGAGTTAGGCATAAAATTCCTCTTTTCGGTTTCCGTCAGTTGTGAAGCTTGGAGCGTAAGTGCTGATTAGCCTAGCTTAATTGTTGGTTGTTGCTGAGGTTTAGCCGCAGTGTCATCAGTCTTTCGCATATTCTATTACGTGGCAAGACTGCCACTTTGTTACCCGCAAAACGTAACGGAGAAGTCAATAATAAGATTTTGAGGAGGTGGGAAAGTTAATGGGTAACTAAAAAGAAAAAAAAAAAGAAAAAGAGAAGAGAGAGAGTTGGTTGGTGGCTGAAATCTAGAAACGTGATTTCGTGTAAAGGGTTGCCGACTAGCTTCCAATGCGGAGAGGGGTGTGGGTCAGTTAAATAACTAAATATAGAGCACCACCTGCTTTTTCCCTGTAGTACACGAAATCAACCGATATAACGAAAGCAGGAAACTTCTACGGACCTATAGCAGCACAACCTGAAATATAAATGTAAACAAGAAGGGAGGACAAAAGTGAAACGCTTTGCTACAATCAGGTACGGGTTTTAATTAGATCCAGAAATGTAAACCAGAACAGGTTGACTCTAGAGCAGGTTCGAAGTGGGTTTTCCGAACGCCCTAGAACACTGAAAATTATTCACACTGGAACCAGAACAAGAAAAGAAATCGTCTCGGAGTACCAAACCATATGTTCTTAAAATAGTATTTACAATAATTATTAATTACATTCAACTTGAGTCCCTAAATAAAAAAAAAAATAAAAATAAAGAGTAATAACAATTAACAGCAATAATACCTGAAATATTAATTAATAAATAAGCTTACTTAATGCGTAAATGGCCATTTAACCCCAGTGTACAAGTATTTTCCTGTATTCAGTGCAGCATGTATTTACGGGATATTAGAGAAATATAGATCATTAATTAAACTTGAAGAAACAATATATAGCCTGAGGGGCGAATTTAATATAATGGAATACTATAGATGGTATAGATAAATACTTAAAATTGAAGTACCTAACAGTACATAACCTGAATGGTAAATTTCATAAAAAAAAAGGTGATATAGATATAATTAATTAAAAATTGAAATAACAACACATAATCTGAAAGGTAATTTGATCTAGTAGTAGAACTGCGTTGTTGTGGTGATTTACTCCAACAAGCGGTTGGTATGGTTTGATATTAAGACAATACAACACACTTATCAAACCTGAGTAGTCCCTAATCTCTTGGGAAAACCTGACGGATGGAATTAATATCTTCCAGTGTTTCCGATGGCCTGGGACTGGATCAAGACCGCAACAAGAAGCCACTGGCCCTGGGCACTGAAGTTCAGTAATTAGGAGTCACTAAAGCTTCCAATGGTCTAGAGGAGGCTGAAGATTGGAAGTACTACTTGAACCACACAGTAAGCTCAACGTTTAACTCTTTACTCAAATTAAGGACTAAGTGTGACGAATAAAAGGTGACGATTAAAACGTAACGTCTAAAGGTGAAGATTAAAGTGTAACTTCTAAAGGTGATGAATAAAGGCCTGAAACAAATGGACGTTATGAGACATGGCGTGGAGCAATATAGGTAGGTATGTCCAATATTCGGAATTTAACTATATAATTAACAGAAAATTATGCTTTTACATAGGCAATAGAGAAACACAGAGAAGATTAATAAGAAAAACCACTTACCAAAATTACTTTGGCCTTTAGGAACAAACAATTGGTCAAGTTGCTCTTTTTCGACTCACAAAAAAAATCCTCACAAGGCGATTGGGTGCTAAAATAACGGATTAGCCACCCTAGATCTATGATCAAAAACTAGACAACTCAGAAAATCGGCAAAATGTGCCTGAGGAATTTTCCCGAACACTTAATCGTGGAAAGTCCTCGACCTGAATGACCTCTGCTTGTCCCTGCAATGTTCTTTAAAAAGTCTCTGTCAAAACTCCAAAGTGGAAGGTACTGGGGATTTTGATGGTAGTTGGGACATGGTACTTATTCAAATTAAGTTAGTACCGGTCACTGACCCTATTTGGAGCGCTGTCAATCTAGTCAATCTACTCCGATCAGACAATCAGCTGTTCTAGTGTAAATATTGTGATTTTGTTTGCTAATAAATTAATTGTCTATTTATTTTAACCCTACTAACAGGAAATCAATTCCATTAATAAACCTCTAACTTAATGATTCTGGGAAGAATGAAAAGTTTGATGAAAAGTGTGGCTACAACTATTGGATAGAAAACAGTGGCTTGAGGAAGGTATGCTATTCAGAGAGACGAACAAGCTTATTTCCTTTTATTTTGGTGCGGGAAAAATCATCCCGTAACAATTCCGGATGGAAGCTCAGCAGCAAAATGGTCCATAAGTTTATTTTTTTATGGCGAAGCCCACTCCGTGGATGCGAGGTTCGTTCTTTTTCTCCTGTTATCAGGAAAACGTATAGCTTCCTCCGTTCTCCTTAAGTTGACCTTCGCCAGCTCTTCTAGATTCGCTCAGATCTGCTTGAAACATTATGGATTATTTGAGGCACATACAAATACAAAAATTCTTATTCCATTTTTCCTTTTACTGAATTCGATATAAAATTCATAATCAATTCTATAGTTAGGTAATCAGAGTTTGGGTTAGCCAAAAGAAAATGAACCTTTTTTGAAAGTACTATTCAACACTTACAACTCTACACAGTAAAAAATAGGTTAAAAATTGTAAACAGACAATCACAGAATATCATATAAAATACGTCAAAGCAATAAAAGCATTAAAGGAAAAAAAAAAAAACAAAAAAAAAAAACATTAAAAACAATTAAAAACAAACAAAACAAGACATTGTTGTACGCTCTTTGAAAGTGTGATTATCTATATGCTGGAATTTCTAATGCGATTTTTTTTTTCAATTTGCAGGTGATGGAAATGCTGTTCCCACAGCCAACGATAACACAATACAGATCCAAGCAGGCCTGGACAACAATTGGTCAACAGGAGGCGTCACACATACCGTTGCCGATACTGTCGTTAATGACGAAGATAACGAGATTAGTTCCAGTTATTTTAGGTTAAAATCTAAATCAGAAGTAAACTAATGTTCAGAAATAATTTATTTTAACGTTAGGAAGTTTAATTTTAAATCTACTAAAACATTTGATTTTGACAGGATAGTTGGTAATTTAAAAACAAATTCAAAAAAATCCATAACATCAAATAATTTTCACAAAGTCGTTCGTTCTGTAAGGTTTCTAACATTTTTAAAAACCGCTTCAATTTGGATTCTATAAACCGGAACAAATACATTATTTTTTCTTATAAATAAAATTTCTATTACTTATTATTTGATATTGTTCTAGTTCTACAAAACTACCCAATTATACTAGCAAAAAGACAACACCTTATGGAAATCACGAGGAAACTACCATGAGGTACGCGGAGAGTTATCCGCCTCCAATTTTGCAAATTTCTGTTTCGAATGCTCCTGTAGGATACACGCCTTTGCCTACCATACAAAGACCGATGTTCAGGTATAAATAAAACTTTTAAAAATAATAATCAGAAATCAGCTACAATACATATATGCTTTCTGATACCAAAATGTTTTGTAATGGTTTTTAGGCCGAAACCACCAAAGCCTACAGACGAAAACTATATCTTGATTCCGACTTTGACGCATGAATCGAACAAACCTAATAAAACTGAAGATGATGAAGCTGTGGCAATTGAGAGTGTCAATCTGATCAATCATTCTACGTCTAGTCGACCTTTAACTACTTTGTAAGTAAATTTACTTATCTGAAACTAACGATTTTTTTTGAATCGGCGCCCAAAATTACTTCTAAGTTTTTTTCTTTAATCAGCCTAAACTAAAAATAAAGAATTTGCGTAAATTACCCAACCCTCCCCCTTTTATTTCAAAATGATTGAAACAAGTACCTACACAGTTAACTAAATTATTATTTATTTCATTTTAGCTCATACGTCAGCTCCAGCACACCATCGGACCGAAAATCCACATCCAAAAAACCACCATCCACCTCTTACGTGTACAGTACGACTATACCACCACGCAGAACCGAATCAACTACCAACAGAAAACCCATCAAAAGCACCATTTCCAGTTCTATAACTAGCTCGAAGCCGCCTAGTACTTCCTACGTTTACAGCAGTACCTTTCGACCAACATCCTCAAAACCCAATAATGTGTATAGTTCGACAAGTAGGCCCAATACCGTAGCTCATTCCACATTTGCCAGTACACCTGAGGGTTTTCCAGGGTCCAGCACGCCTTCCTTTGTTTCGTCTTCCAGTTATGGGCCGTCTACGACCAGTAGTCACATCGCAGGGCCTGGATTCACTGTTACTTCACAGCCTATAGGACACTACTCGTCGTATCCAACTCCAGCACCTACTGTGATTGTATTGGGACCAATTAGTGAAGATAGCGACAAAGATGATGGTTATATTTTGGCTTCTTCTAGTTCCAGGCCAACTTTGCCAACAAGAATTGGTGAGTCAAAGATTGAATTTTTCTTAATGTAACAAAAGATCATTTGAAATTGATCAGCTAGTAAATATTTTTTTTCTAGAATATTTGAAAAATGTAAGATAGGTATGTCTGAAACTATTTTAATTATAAAACAGTAATTGAACGCTGTGTATGTTGTATATGTTTTCAAATTATTATTCAGTGTTGATATGCATCTAGAAATACATTTCCTTTCCTCTTTCTTCAATTTAGATTTCAATGCTGGGATGTTTTTTGACATTTTTCTTCTGCTTAATTTTCGATGAATGCAGGTGACATGGCAGCCAAGGCTATTTCTTTTTCTTCAATAACTGAGAAGCGTCCTTCTTCATCTAGAGGACTTGTAGTTAAATTTCTAATTGTTTGGAATCATCCAAAGACAGCCATGCTTGGCGCATATTTCTGTATTTAGTGCTTAAAATTTTTGTTATGATAGCTGTGTCACTAATATATAATATTATTACCTGTTTCTCTAATTTCACGTGCTAAGTTTTCTATTTTTGAAATATGTTGAGTCATTAGGATCCATTTTATACTGATGAAACTTTGTCTTTACATGGTCAAGCATCTTTGTCTGCTACTTCTGTATATAAATCGAATCTAATTCATCAACAATTTCTTTAGAAGAATCACAGTTCTATAACAGTGATTTGTGTTGAGTCTATAGCAAATAATGGGTTTTCCCTACAAAAGCGTATTTTTAAAAAGCCCTTCAGTTAAAAATTATTATTTATTACGAGAACACAATGTAAATTGGAACTAATTCTTACATTGGCTATGTTCCGATATTAACTGCCAGTATTGGATTCACTGTGCTGATTTTACTTTCATTTGCTTTTCCGATTTCAACAGCTCTTGTGGTCATTCAGTACTGAATCGACTGAATCCAGGGTATCTACTGAAAATAATATCGGAACGGCGTCCAGTAAATTAATACTGACAGTTGATATCGGAACTTGGCCATTTAATTGCCCACAATTTATATATAAAATATTGCTTAGCTTAGGAATCGAATTTAATCTCGAATTTGATCGAAATTAGGTTGCTTTATCGAGTTGTCGCTGCTGAGCCATGGGTTCAATGATACTCGGTGCTATTCCAAATATATGGGGTATAGTTCGTAATTTCTCCTTTCCCGGGGGTTGGTTCCCTTTTTTCGAGACTTGTTTCTTCCATTGGTGTCCTCCTATAAGGTTCTTATTTGAAATCCTTTTTCTTCCGAGGTTTTCTTCTGCCCTTATTAATTTGTAAAGTTCATTCAAGGGTACTCGAGAAAGTTTCAGAGGCTTCACTTGGGATTGCCGATCATCATTTCTTGTGTATATTCTGGGAAGTGGAAATTCGCATTCTGGTGGTAAACTGATTAAGAATACCCCTTTGAGAATTATTATCTTGGTAGTTAGGTACCGAAGTGATACTTTCGTAAACCTAGGAAATATGGCTATATAATGAGCATCGAATAGATCTTGTATCAACGTAGGTAGTATTGATTGACACAGGTATTTGCCGGCAAGTTGCTTCACTGTTGCTTATAAGTTGAAGTATTTGGCTTATATAATTCTGGTTGTTATCTTGTACGAATCCTTCGTGACATAAGTATTCGGAATTAATTTTACAGCATGGAACTTCCGTGCAGAGGCAAATAGGAAGCAGGAGAAATTATGGAGGCATAATTCGTAGTGGGTATTGAGTAAGGATGGAAATATGTGAAAATTTCTGGTGACAAAATGGGGGAATGCAGGTTGAAGACCATGATGTGGTTTGAGAAGTATCCATCAATGCTAATAATATAAGTACCTACTTAGGTATATCTTCTTCGTAGATAAAAGAAAGCTGGATTTCGGAGTTATGTTCGAGCTTCTTCGTAACGGCCTATTTCATGTTCGTCGGTTTTAATAAAAGAATGGGCCACTTTCACGTGCCGGGAATATGGCAAATTATGATATTTTTTGACGCAGATACATCAATGCAACCTAGAATGAACAATATTTTGCTAGATTTTAGTCAGATTATTAAATAAATCAATAAATAATAGTAGATTATGCCACGAGTCAATAATGATAGCTATTATTCCCGAAGAATATTTACGAACTGAGCCGCATTAGCGGCGAGGGAGTAACATTCCGAGGGAATAATAGCCATTATTGCGAGTAGTATACTCTACTTTATTTACGACAAATCAATTTATTTGAAATTTTCTTTCCAAAAACGCTCTTTGTTCATCCATCTCAATACAAATACACAAGCACTACGCGTTTGACACTGACACTTTTGAATTTGTATTATACTGTTTCCATGGTACTACCTACTTATTTAATTTGAGAAATTTTGTGATTGGTGTGCAACCGGGAATAATGACCATTAATCCCTGCGGGAATGATAGATGGCATTAAACTGCCAAAATCACAAATATAATACATTATACATTTGACAGTTTTTTGTTCATCTGTCAAAAAAAGTGGAAATCGTTATTATTAGTAGGCGAGGTGTGTCCCAGATTCGCTTCTCTATATAGGGATCTCGACTCCTATAATACCCACAGCAAAGGTTAAATGGAGAAAGTTCTAGAGGAAGCTTAGTGCATTCGATAATCGGCTTCAGATTCACGATCTCTCAATTAGAGTTGGAAATATCGGCGAAAAACCGAAAATGGTGGATTTCGTTTTTTGCCAGTTAACCCGAAACGGTTAATTTGACAGCTGTGAAATTGTGACATTATCCAGACACTTTTTTAAGACCAATGAGATAGCGTGCATGACAGGTCTCAATCGTCTTCTGTTATCCCGCAACCCGCCTCAACTTTCATTTTTCTTATGGCCGCCATATTGAATTTTTCGATTTTTGGAAAAAGCATAGAATTTCCAGTCTAGTGATGTGTCACAAGTGGATAAAAGATTTGAGTGTCGTCGCAAACTTACACTTCGTAAAGTTAATGTCTGGCCAACGATTATGAAGCTACGGAGTAAGGGAAATCAAGTTGTAAAAAAATGGCTGTCGGCTGATTTCATCCATAAAATACCTACCCAGGTGCGTGCGGAACTTTTTGGAAGTATATCGTACACGAAAATCGACAGACTAAATCACCGCCATTAGATATGTTCATTCAATGTAAGTCGATATTTCAAGATGGCAGTCATCGCAGGAACACGGATGAGAACACTTCTTCCGCTACCACACCGCCTTTGAAGATGACTACCGCAGCAGTAGACGGAACGAGTATTACTAGACCACGGCATTATAACTTGGAAAAAACTTTTTTACTCTCTGTACCGTTGATTTTGGCATACCAATTTCACGTTGTACAGTTCTTACTGATGCACTAGGATTTTCGTTGACAGCTAGTGAAATGTTTCTGTCGCGATTTTCATTATCAATATTTTATCCGCTTCTAGGTTTTTCGAAGGCCACATGGTTAATTAAATTACGTGTTATGTGAATTACGTGTTATGAGGCTTCCCTCGTTCGGGGTACATCTCCAAATACCTTGCTGAGGTAATGTCGGCGTTTCTGAGTGACTGCAATTACAGCGCTAACAAGTCAAACCTTTCTTCATTTGAATAAGGAATACCGGCCATTTTCAACAGGTTTCGACAATTTGTGTCTCCAGGTTTATGATTTTAATGGAAGAGAACTTACTATTATTAATAGACAACTTTGACACTATGAATTATTTTATCCTAAACAAAAACATCTAAAATCTGTTTTTTTTTTAAAGATAAAAGTCAAACTGACATTATGTTGGCAATACAATGTAAAATTGTCAATGCTTTAAATTTTTTTATGTAGAAAAGGCTTGTGTTGCCAACATGGTTACTAAATTTTTGACTTGGGGAATTATCTTTAAAAAAAAAACGCACTTTAATTTTGTCTATTATCAAAAGTAAACATTTCCTAGACGTACCATCAGCTTTTGTCAATTTGGCAAACATCCGGCCTGGATGAACGTGATTGGTGGAGTTTTTGGCACGATCGCCGTTGCCACGGAACCATGCGGTTGCCATGGGGCTTACGTCTCGCTATTGGCTGGCCAGGGTTCCCGTAACTTTATCCTTGCATCTTGAAATATCGACTTGCTTTGAAATATCCAGTGGCGATGGTTTGGTTATTGTCGATTTTCTTGTACGATATTATACTCCCAAAAAGTTCCGCACGCAGCTGGGTAGGTATTTTATGAATGAAATCAGCCGACAGCCATTTTTTTACAACTGGATTTCCCTTACCGATGCCCCGTTAGTTTCAGAATCGTTGGCCAGACAACTTAACGAAATTTGATTTCTCGATGATACTCAAATCTTTTATCCACTTGTGATACATCACTAGACTGGAAATTCTATGCTTTTTCCAAAAATCGAAAAATCTAATATGGCGGCCATAATAAAAATAAAAGTTGAGGCAAGTTGCGGAATAACAAAAGACGATTGAGACATGTCATACATGCTATCTCAATGGTCTTAAAAAAGTGTCTGAATAATGTCACATTTTGACAGCTGTCAAATCAACTGTTTCGGGTTAACTGGCAAAAAACGAAATCCGTCATTTTCGGTTTTTCGCCGATATTTCCAAATCTAATTGAGCGATCGTTAATCTGGAGCCGATTATCGAATTCTCTTAGCTTTGAACTTTGTTGACCAGTCAGAAACAACTACTCCGAGGGCAAATACCCCTACCGGCGTTGAACTACACTGATTGGTCTGAGCTTTCGTTGGCAATGGAAATTGTTAGAAAGATTTTTTCAGGTAATGACTAACGTGAATACAGGGACACTACGGTCCCTGTTTGGGAATCGGCCCACTGAGCAGTGGACTCAGGCTTCCCGTGCCAATCCTTGACGCGTTTCGTCCTTGTTAGGACTCATCAGAAGGACATAGGCTAAAGCTCCCTGTTTCCTAAGAGTTTTAGTCTTCACTCCTATGAAAATGGCAATAACTTTTGAACGATACAAGCTAGCGAGTTGCGGTTTATTTTAAATTGAAAATCAGCTCAAAATACATCAAAATGTGTCCAGAAATTGTTTGGAATTTGTTTTTATCGATTGAAGTACAAGACATATGAGTGTTTCCTAAGATTTAAGTCGTCACTCCAAAAAATCTTTTCTAACAATCTCTTAGCTTTGTCTAGAACTTTCCCCATTTAACCTTTGCTGTGGGTATAATAGGAGTCGAGATCCCTGTATAGAGAAGCGAATCTGGGACACACTGTATGTCAGTCGTGAATAAAAATTTAAACGAAAAATCACGTGATTGAAAAGGCTCTCTGATTGGCTAAAGCCGATTTCGACGTTTTTGTTGCCATATGTACAAATGCGAAATTTAAATGAGTTAATAAGGATTATACCTACCCTTTATTTTTTTATAATGTAGTAAAGGACGAAAATAGTTTCTAGCTAGTGAAATGTGTAATGATTTACTAATG